CTTCTTACAGTTGTAGTTAAACTTATAACAGTTTAGTACTACCTGATTTGACATTTGCAAGTTGTTTGATGAAGAAATTTAAATTTCAAGGAATATTTTTATGTATGCTCAATTGAAAAAACTTTTTTTTTGACCGATTTGTGCATCAGGTGATACCACTTATATCAGCCTTTTCAGATCTATAAGAAAATTTGGGAAATTTTTAACCTTTTTGTTGATTTTTATGGATAATATTTTTAAAGAAATTTCAAAGCTTTCTGCCAAAGAAAATTGAATATCCTAGTTCTAGCAATCAAAAAATTTTCCAGGAACGTCGTTCCCAGGATCCACCACTATTTCCATCATTTTCAGGTATTTCAATCCTTCTGGTGTTGTCACCACTACCTACGCTGGCAAAAACAGAGTTGTACAAACCTACCCCTTTTCCTGAACAATTATTGGGACATTTGTTTCCAGCAGAGATTGGGATAGCCTCGCTAACAGGAACACATCTGCTGTTCATACACATCTAAGAAAGAAACAAGATAATTATCTGTAAATTTTAATCCGCCAAACTAAGAATGATGACAGCATGTCAATATTATGTTTTTATGGCATCATAAAACCAGTTCTGTGCGACATGTCATATCAATATAATGAGGATTGGATCTTTTTGACGAAACTTTGTCTCCAAAGCAATGCCTTCTGTTACAAATATGAAATTTTCTGTCTGTGAAAGAGCATGGTGAAATCGACATGTCTTTCGGATTACGGTAGATTTTGTTTCGGCTCACAAGAGCATGGCTGGATGAGAACATCAAAATCTGACTAGTAAGCCAAGTTAGACTACAACCAGGCCTATGGTAAACCTCATCCAAAGTAAAATAAAAATCGATCTTGCAGAGTTCAGGGTTTCCAACAGAATATCAATCGGCAGGTGTTTTACATTATCATAATATTATCATAATCGGCGCAATAGAGCGTTTGCACTCATTCCCCAGGGACCAACTCAACAAAAGCCATGGCGGCCATGTCGGTTTTCCAGACAAAAGAGTCTAATAGACCTTACTGATTATTTTCTTTTACCCAATGGCCTCGTTTTCATGTCAAATACTCATGTTTTGTGCTTAGTAGGGTTGAAATTACTTTGTTATTGAGCCTAAGAACAGCAAGAAACAAATTCGTCCAGGAAAACATGGGAATATAATCTTTATCTGCCCCTGACATGCTAAAATAAGTTCACATGGAAACGAGGCCACTGGGTAAAAGAGAATAATCGGTAAGGTCTATGAAATTCTTTTGAATTGGAACACCAACATGTCGGCTGTGACGTCATGTGGAAGCGTTCTATAGTGGGCTCATACTCTATACGACCCCAACAACTAAGGAGTCGAGGGGCTTCGCTCTGAGAATGCTTTTGGACTTAAGAACCTCAACCCTCTTGACAGTACCACTTAACAATAGCTTTAAAGTAAAGTATATAAGTATATACCAAGGCTGTCCACGGCCGAAATTAAAACAAATTAAACAACAATGATAATCTGATTCTGACATACACGTATCTCTACACATTCAGATTCTAAAACTGTCTAAACCCTAAAAGTTATATTTATTAAAGAATCAGGTATCTTACTTTTCCTTCAGCGCATTTTGTGCCATTTTCAATATACTGTGGATCAAGGCCATCTCCCCATGTGAAAACGGGAGCACTACAACATAAGAGACAATTGGTCACTTCTTAAATTTAACAACATGTTCCACGAAACAATTTTTGCTATAATTTGCAACGCAATTTCGGACAACAAAGTTGTGTTTTCCACTTACATGCTTTTAAAAACAATAACAAACTTACATGCAATAAGTCTTTCTGTCATGAGTAGCCCAAAACGTAGTTCGGTCCTGGCCACGTATTAATTTGTGATCCGCCCTGTTTGATAAACAATGGATTCTACCGCACCTTACATCCCTAAACAGTTTAAAACATGAAAAAAATAAATTTTTCTTCACCCATCCATCCATCTACACTTCCTTCTTTCTTCCCATTCTTTTCATTCTTTCTACCTTTCTTTCTTTACTCCCTTTCTACGATATTCACTTACTCTTTGGGACAAGTGAAAGTTCCCTGTGCATCATTGTGACAATTATAAAAAGCGTTTCCCGTAACGGCATTTCTGTTGAAACACAGGTCATTACCAGCTTTAATATCTGAAACAAATATGATGAGTATAGTTTACAACATGTAGATAGCCTTGTGATTGTTTGCGATGGACGTTTTTAAAAAAAGAAGCAAGATTTACCGTCTCCAAAGAGGTATTGACACTGCAGTTCAATATTTCGACAAATGCCGCCATAACAATAGCCCTAAAACACCAAATGAAGAATTTAAAAAAGATTTTCCTTTAGTCTTTCAGTCCGTACTTCATTCCATCATTCCTACCTCCCCCCTCCCATACGTCCTCCTCTCACTCCCTTCCTCTATCCTTCCTTCATCCTTAATTTCATTCTTCCCTTCCTCCATCCCTTTTTTCTCCCTCCCTCTCTTATTCTACCCTTCTTTCCTTCCCTCCTCATTCCCTCCCTTCATCCCTTCCTTCTCCCCATCCCTTCCTTCTCTCCATCCCTTCCTTCTCTCCATCCCTTCCTTCTCTCCATCCTTTCCTTCTCTCCATCCCTTCCTTTTCTCCATCCTTTCCTTCTATCCGTCCTTTCCTTCTCTCCATCGTTTCTTTCTCTCCGTCCCTTCCTTCGCTCTGATTCTTCCTTCTCATCGGCTCTTCCTTCCTCCATCCCCTCCTTCTCTCCTTTCTTTCCCTCTCTCCATCCCTTCTTTCTCTCCGTCCCTTCCTTCTCTCCGTCCCATCCTTCTTTCGATCCCTCCCTTCTCTCCGTCCCTTCCTTCTCTCTGTCCCTTCCTTCTTCCGGTCCCTTCCTTCTCTCCGTCCCTTCCGTCTCTCCGTCCCTTCCTCCAATCCTTCCTTCAAATTTTAACTCACGTCATTTTCCTTGCAAGGTCTACCATTATAAACATGATGATCCTCCGGACACTACAGGCAGAGAATAAACATCAATTTTTGTACACGTGACGGTTACCAAGGCAAACAAAACATTTTTACCATTTCATGATTTCCAGTGCAGTGTTCCGGAAGATCACAGTCATCATACTTTTCCCGACATAATTTTCCTCTGGACTTGAGCTGCAAAATTTTATATGATAACAATAAATGGGCGACTTTTCAGCGAATCTACCTGTACTTACTTGAACAGGCAATCGTCAAGTTTGTCGCCTGTAATGAATTTAATTTGTTGCGAACAAGCGCTCAGTCAGACCATTGTAGTATGATATCCAAGGCCCAGAGCAAATTAAAGTAAGAAACAGTGTTGTGGAAACATATTGTTTCCTAGCCATTTTCCCGAAGGCCAAGAAACATTGTTTCCTAGGCAATCTTAGCCATGTTTCCGGTGTTTTCAAATCTTTCTACAAGAGAATTGACTCAAATCTTAAAGTTCCTCAATTCTGACGAACCTGACAGTTCTCACAACACTCTCCATGACTACAAGCTGCTCCAGGGAGAAAGGTACATGATGTTGCATTACAACATTTGTTTCCAAAATAATCACACTCCTAAAGAAATAAACAAAAATACTGCATTACATCAGTTATGTAAATGGCCAACTATGTAAGGCAGCAAACTTTGGAAAGGTAGTTGAGTATTAGAATCTTACAATACGTTCTGGTGAGTCTCACTGGCAACACGAAACATGCGCGTTACATGTGAATACGGTTGGATGGCGGTATCTGGCTTTCGTACAAGCAGTCTCGTGCATAGGAAAATTTGACAGTACCTTCTGTGTCCCACAATCACATTGTTCCCCTTCTTCGACAAAACCATTACCACAAATTGCGTCACCATATAGCTATATTTAAACATAAAGAATCAGAGTTCATTCTTTACATAACAGGTAAAGCAGATTAAACCACAATCTGTAATAGATGAGGCCGAAATTGAGCAAAAACAAGGTTAGCGCAAGTACGAGTTTTTGAACTTGAACTCGAACCTGAACTCGCAATGAAATCTAAATTCCTTCGAACTAAGGAACAACCGATGACATTTCTGACATATTTTGGTGGAAATTCATCACTTGCAGCAACAGGGGCGGATCCAGACCGATGCCAACGATGCGAATGCATCGGTCAAAATTGAGAAATCATGCTGCTTGAAATAATATATAGACATATTATACTTGGTCAAGCACTCAGTAATAGAATATCTTTGAATCTCTCGAGCTATCAAACCGCAAATATTTGCTTA